CCTGGCTGTCGAGCTGTTCGTGCCCCCGTCTTGTGCTGCCTTGCCAGCGTCCGCAGCCATCTCCCCCCTTGCTTTTTGACTGAAGTCCCCTGCGTGTCCCCACAGCTCCTCATCCCCGTCCTTGCCTCCCTCTCCAGGCCCATCTAGCTTTAATCTTTTGCCAGCTACTCCCTGAGAGGCCTCCTCCATCTCTGCCCTGGGCCTTGGCCTCTTTGTTCCCTGTTCTATCTGGCACCCCAGTGTGTCCTGCAGCCCTTGGACCAGAGCAGCTGGGGGAAGGGCGCTGTGGGCAGGGGAATGGTAGCAGCCCGGACCAGTGAGGCGGGAGGGCATGGTTGCTGAGGAGGCAGCAGCCCCCAGTCATGGCCTTGGGGAGAGCTGGGCTTATACTTTAGGCTCTAGCAGTAACTGGCTGCAGCTTTTATTTTATCGCCTTGGGGCTGGGCAGGTTGGTGGCAGGGTGTCAATAGTCCTGCTTTATCTTGGGAATGGGCTCCACTGCCTGCGCTACTCCCACAAGTGGCTCTGTGGTGGTGTCCAGCCACTGTGCATGTTGGCTGTCACTGTTGCTCTGGCCACTGGATATTTTGTTTCTGTCTGGATTGCAAGTACAAGCGCTGGCACAGGACAGGCGCCTGCCCCTGCATTTCTCACACAGGTCTTGACGATGGGAGGGTTTGGGGCCCACACGGCGCAGTCTTACTGAGCAGGAACATCTAGTTCTTTTACAACTTCAACAGGTGATATCCTCCACTCGGTAAGGGTTGTAAGATTTCTGATAGGTTCTGCAAAACTGTTTGAAGTAAACCTTGTTTGTGCCCTGAACACACCACACATACGCACTTCCCAGCGAATGTTGCAGTCTTTGCAGTGATAATAGCCATATTTTTGCCTGGCTCTGCACCTTGTGGCAACCTCTCCTGCACAGTGGTGGTCACATTTCTACTGTCCGTAGCCCCCCCTGCTGCCAGGGCCCACTTTGGCCTCTGCAGTATGGGCTGTGGGGCTGCCTCACTAATTTGAACCTCCTGCTGCTCCTGCGCAGCGCTTGGCGGTGGGGATGTCTTCCTTGCTGCCCCCTTGTCCTCCTCCGGTGCCACAGGGCCCTGCATGCTTGCCGGGGCCTCCTCCAGGCAGCTGGTAAGGCAGTGGGAGCACGGCAAGTGTGCGGGGGCCGGCCCTTGCACAGCGGCATCTGCCACGCGAGTGCACACTGACCTGAAGCATCACACTGCGGGTTCACCTGCACCCCCACATCACAGCAGCTGGGCCTTCTGGGGCACAGCTCAAAGCCTGGGCTCAAGTATGACAGGAGTGTGGCAGAGGAGAACAAGGCAGGAGGGTGTCCCCCACCACAGAGCCACCAGACATTGGCATCCAGTGGGTAGGAAAAGGGATAGGAGTAGGGTGCACATGCCAGCTACCTGAGTGTGCCCAGCACCTTGTCCCCCACTGCCGCCATCTGGATGGGCCCCATTATTTAATGGGGATGGAGCAAGTTCCAATGGGTGTTTCTCAGGAAGGGCCGACTTTTTCCAGCAGTTCTAAATCCACACTGATTATTCCAGTGATACCCTGGTTGACACTTAGTACAAGGACTGCCAGGTTTAGTTGAAGGGACAGATAATGGCTCTGCTGCCCTTATAGGTGTAGCAGAGCAAATTACAGGCAAAATGTCCCTTATTACCCCAATGAAAAAAAAAAGCCTTGTTTTTTCTCCTTCCCCCCGCCTGTGGATGAATAACCTGAGTAATACCTGCTGCCAGGGCAGCCCCCTGTACATATGAGGGGCCAGTATCTGCACAAATCCGAATCATCTCTGGCAATGTAGCAAGTATATAGGCTTAGAATTGAATATTTGGTATTGCTCTTATATCCTTCAACCTCCCCAAACTCCTTTATTAATTCAAATCAGATTTTTGGAGGTTTTCTTAGGTTCTCTTATACATACAAGATAATGTCATGTCTCAATAGGGTAGTAATACCTTATTACTCAGTAGGGTAGTAATAACTATTACATCTACATTTTCAGTGTGAATGCTTTTCATTTCTTTTTCCTGTGTGCTTGCTCTGTATTTAGAATCTAGTGCAAAGTTGAGTACTGTGGCACGAGCAAATGTCCTTGTCTTTAAGGGGAATGTGTTACAAGTCTTTCAACAGTAAGTATAATGTCATCTGTGGGTTTTTTAAAAATAGATTTTAGATGAAGTTCCTGATTTCTTAATTTATTAAAAAGTAGACATGTCTTGGTGTTATATATTCTAGGTTTTGTTTTATGTTGCTTTTTAATATGGTGTATTACGCAGGCTGGTCTTGAACTTTGTGGGCTCAAACTGTCCTCCATCATCTTCTCAATAGGTGCTACTGCAGGTGATTGTCACTGTGTCCAGCGCTTTTAGGGATATGAAAAAAATAATATAAATAGGTAGATATATAGATAGATATACACACATATATTTTGGTTTTCTTAAACTTGCTATGTAGCCCAGGCTGGCTTCAAACTTTCGGCGATCCTTTTCAGTCTCCTCGGTGTTGGGATTACAGGTATTCACCACCATGCCTGACTCTTTGAGGGATTTTTGACAAATGTATCATAACTGAATCCGTCTCCGTGGTATCATAATTGATAGTTTTGCTACCTTGAAGATCCTTTTTGCTCTATTTAGCCCTTTCTCCCCTCCATGTGCTCACAAGCACTTACCTTTTTACTGTCTCCATAGTTTTTCCTTTTTCCAAATGTCATGAAATTGGAATCATGAGTATGCATCCTTTCGAGATTGGCTTCTTTTACTTGGAAATAATGCACATTTAATTTTCATCCAGGTTTTTATGGCTTGATAGTCCATTTATGTCTAGCTTTGAAATATTCCAGTGCCTGAATGTACCACAGTTTAGTTATTCATTCACCTTCTGAAGGACACTTAGCTGCTCCGAAGTTTGGTAATTAGACTAAAGCTGTTTATAAAGATGTTTACAGAAATAAAATGTTTATGTAAAATGAAGATGTTAATGTCTGCGTGAATGATTATGTGTGGACATGTGTTTGCCGTTCTTTCTGTTAAGTACCAAGGAGCTTGTTTGCTGGATCATAGGATAAGAATGTGTTTGTATTTTTTTTTTCTTTTTTTTTTGAGACAGGGTCTTGCTGTGTAGTTTAGGCTAGCATTGAACTCACTATGTAGCCAAGGCTGGCCTCGAGCTCATGGCAATCCTCCTGCCTCAGCCTCCTGGTTTAAGAATGTGTTTAGTTTCTAAGAAAGGCATGGTTGTACATGCATATACGTAATCCCAGCACTCTGAAGGAGGATGCAGGAGGATCACAAGTTCAAGGCCAGCCTGGGCTATATAGTGAGACCCTGTTTGGAAAAAATCAAGAGACAAAGAAAAAAAATTGCTAAACTCTCTTTTAAAGGTGGCTGTAATATTTTGTATTTTCACTACTGATAAATGAGGCTTCCTGTTGCTTTACATCCTCAGCAGCATTTGGTGTTGTCAGAGTTTTGGATTTTGACCATTTTTTTTTTTTCCTCCGGTACCAGGAACCGAACTCATGACCTTGCACTTGCCAGGCAGGTGCTTTTGCCGCTGAGCTAAGTCCCCAGCCCCTGATTTTGACCATTTTAATAGTTATGTAGAACTATCTCATTGATGTTTTAATTTGTAGTACCCTAATAATATATTTTGGAGCAACTTTCCATATGATAATTTGTCTGTATATAAACTTCTTTCGTGAATTGTCTTTTTAGGTGGTTTTTATCCCTTTCAAATTAGGTTGTTATTGTTGCGTTTTAAGACTTTGTACATTTTAAGTAATTGTCTCTTTTATTGGTGATGTAATTTGGAAAGGTTTTCAACTCTGTGGCTTGTGTTTTCTTTTGAAGTTCTATAGTTTTATTTTTTGAGGACTTTTCATCTATATTCATAAGTACTGCTGTTCTGGAGTGTTCTCTTTTTGTGCTATCTTGTTTGATTTTGGTATCATGATATAAAATGAGTTGGGAAATGTTACCTCCTTTTGTATCTTAGAAGTGTTCATGAAGAATTGATACTCTTTAGTGGTATAGTTCAGTGCTTTAACATATCTGGGCCTTTGCTTTTCTTTGTGGGTAGTGTTTTTGATTACTACTTTAATCTCTTTAATTAAGTCTATTTTCATTGTGTATTATTTTCTTGAGTCAATTTCAATAATTTGTTGTTAGAAGTTTGTCTTGTAATTATCTAACTTTTTGATATGCAGTTCTTTATAGTATTTCTTTATTTTGGTAGGCTGGGCATTGTTTTTTTTTTATTTCTGGTTCGAATGAGGTAAGTCTTCTGTATTTTTTTCTTAGTTTCGTCTAAGGTTTGTTCATGTTATTATTTTCATTTTGATTTTATTGATTTTTTTCTCCTGTATTTTTATTCTCTTTTTCATTAATTTCTACTATAGTTTTCATTTTCTTCTTTCTGTTTGGTTTAGGTTTAGTTTGCTCTTAGTTTTCCAGTGTTTTATGATGAGATGAAATACAATTTATTAGTAGTCTTATTTTTAGAATATTGGAAGCTTAAATTTTCTTTTATTGGGAATTATCTCAGGAAGTTACAACAGAAAGTGTGTTGATACTAATATACTTTTTTAAAAAAATTATTGTTTTATAAGAAGAGGTTGGAGTCACGTGTGATGGCATACACCTATAATCCCAGTACTCTGGGAGGCTGAGGCAGGAGGATCTTTCAAATTTGAGTTCGAGGCTAACCTGGGCTACACAGTGAGTTCAAGGCCAGCCTGAACTGCATAGCAAAACCCTGTCTCAAAAAAAAAAGAGAAGTGGTTAGTATGTCAAACAAGAGTACATAGAATATTCTTTTAAGTATATTGGATATTTTAATGAGTAATTGCCACTTAATAAGTATTAGCGTGCCATATTTTATAGCTTGAAAATGGGTATGTGGAATTGTAGGTATTGGAGTTCTATTTGATAATACATTGAAGAGATAAATAATTTTTTTTTCTCTTTTAGATAAAATCAGCGGTTCTGGAAATAACTCTGATATGATGGAAAACAGCAAAGAAGAAGTAAGAATGCTTTGAAGTTTTTTTTTTTTCTAATGCTGGGGATTGGACCTTGGTCCTTGTACGTACTAGGCAAGTGCTCTACCACTAAGCTACATACCCAGCCCAAATCTGAAGTATTTTAAATACATTTATTAATTACTAATAGCCAACTAGAATATTGCTGCAAGTTGATGCATGCTGTGTTCAAGGCTGTCTTCATGTTGTTAGGTGTTCAGTTTGAGAGGACATTCATTATTTTTGTTACTATTGTTTACCTCAGCAGTTTACTTGAAGTCAGAAAGCTAAAGGCTTGCTGGAAGATAGGTATTTAAACATCATTATGGTGTGCTACTGATGTTTAAGGTAGATGTCATAGGCATGGCTCCATCATTCCGAGATTTTTCAAAACTTGATATTCAGGGTTTCCAATGCTGGGCATGATGGCACACGCCTGTTAATCCCAATACTCTAGGAGGCTGAGGTAGAAGGATCGCCAATCTGAGACTAGCCTGCGTAGTTTTTTATTTTCTCAAAATGAAAGTAAAGGGGCTGAGGATGTAGGTCAGTGTGAAGACTCTGGGTTTAATACCCAGTATTGCATCCGCCAAAGGAACATGGCCATAGTAACCCAACACGGGTGTTTTGGAATTGTTGCCACATAGTGTAAAAAGTGGAATCCATTTTAATATATTAATTATACTGGTAAAATGAGGGTAAATTTAGTGTCTGAAGACAAGTTGTAGAAGTTACTTTATGCTGTATATTAGCATAGAGAAAAATGATGACATATTTTTAGATCCTTAAAATTGCTTATCTGTGCTGGTAGCTGATTTCTTTTGCACCTTTGTTTTGTCTTTGTTGAACGTAGCAGGAGTCATGCTATAACAACAGTGCATCCCTTCCCATCCACCAAGCATGAAACTGCAATTTTAAAAAGACAGAGGTCTGGGGATTTAGCTCAGTAAAAAAATAATTGCCTAGCATGCATGAGTCCCTTGGTTTGATCTGTAGCAATACAGAAAAGAAAACAGAACAGAAATTGGGTCTGGGGGTGTAGCTCAGTGGAAGAGCGTATGCTGGAGGCATTACGTTCAGTCTCTAGCACCAAGAAAAAAAGAAAAGAATAAAAAGAAAAAGGACTAATCTGAAGTCAAGGAAACCTTACAGTAAACATGAGAATTAGTTTTCTTAAGGGGTGCTAGAATTGAACCTCAAGGCTTTGCACAGGTTTTGTTTTGTTTTGTTTTGCTGTAATAGGGATTGACCTCTGCATCTTCCCACTGAGCTATATCCCCAGCCCTTTCAAAATATTTTTTATCTTGAATCGCTCTGCTTCAACTTTTAATCCTCTTGCCTCAACTGTACTACAGTGCTGGTATTAAGAGTCATGTCAGGTGGGCGTGGTAGTGCACGCCTGTAATCCCAGCATTGGGAGGCTGAGGCAGGAGGATCGTTGCAAGTTCGAGGCCAGCCTGGCTACAAAGTGAGCTCAAGGTCAGCCTGAACTGCATAGTGAGACCCTGTCTCAAAAAGACAAAAAAAAAAAAGAGTTATGTCCTGCTGGACATGGTGGCGCATGCCTGTAATCCCAGCACTGGGGGGGCGGTTGTTAAGGCAGGAGGATCACTGTGAGTTCCAGGCTAGGCTGAACTGCATAGTGAAACCATGTCTCAAAAAGACCAAAAAAAGGAGTCATGCCCAACTGTGTGCAGCTTTTGAAGTTCCTTTTAGGGAAACATTTGAGGCATATTACTGTATCAGAGATCTTGTTATAGGAAAAAGGTTAATTGTAAGGATGTTGCTTGAGAGTTTTACTCATCTGTGTGATTTTTTTCCTCATATTTAGGGAACTAGCTCTTCAGAAAAATCTAAGTCATCAGGAGTATCACGATCAAAAAGGTTGGTTGATATTGAAGGATAAAAAAGTTAATCTTTGTTTTGATTGTTTTCTTTTTTTTCTTACTAAAAGCATCTACTTTCTGAATGTTAAGCACTTTTTTTCTTTTTTTGAGGCAGGGTCTCACTATGTAGTTCAGGCTGTCCTGGATTCACTATGTACCCCAGGTTGGCCTTGAACTCACAGCAATCCTCCTTGCCTCACCTTCCGAGTGCTGGGATTAAAGGCATGTACCACCACACCCGGCTCAAGCACCCGTTGTTCTAAGTAAACTATTTATACAAGCATAGAAATGAACAGTGTAGTGTAATAGATGTCCTTGTATCACCAGTTTCAGTAATGATTAATTCATTCCAACTTTGAATTATAAAGGAAATTTTAGAGGATTTATATTTTGTGGTCTTGCAATATGGAGTTCATTTCTTTAGATAATATGTGTCTTTGAAAAGGAGAAAAGGAGAAATGTTGACTGTCTCAGATAACATGGGTTTTTGAAGGTTATGGGAAATTGCCTAGGATGAGAAGTAAGTGATCAGAATATTTTTAAGATACATGTAGATCCATGACTGTTAGAAAATATTTTTATTGTAAATTTCAAATTATGCATAAGAAGTGAAACTATTTTCAAGTATACTTAATGCCCAATATGATGTGGATTATAGTCTTACAAGGTTTGCATCTTAATCTTTTTGACACTTGTTTTTAAGCAGTGAAAGTGTCTCTTATAAACACAGCTTTCTTGTTATTATTGATTTAGTCTCTAAGGTAGTGATTCTTTAAAAAAAGAATACCTTTTAAGATCCCTTTTGTAGCTTTTTGAGAGTATACATGCTACCCCAGACCTACTGTATTATAATCTTCAGTGATACGAGATATATATTTCCCTAAGTGAGTCTGTTGCACATCCCTGCTTGAGAGCCACTGCTAGATCTAAATACATGACTTATATTCTTGGAGTGTTTTTTTAATGGTCAGCAATGTCATAATTTTAATGACTTAATTCTCTTTTAGGAAACCTTCAATTGTAACAAAGTATATAGAATCAGATGATGAGAAACTTTTGGATGAAACTGTAACTGAAGATGCTTCTAATGAAAACTCAGAAAATGATATTACTATGCAAAGCTTACCAAAAGGTAATGTATATTAATTTTTAATAGTAAATTAAAGTTGACGTGTATTTTAAAATATCATTATTATAAAATCTGAACTTGATAAACTGTAAGCTGTGTGCCAAGGACCAACATTGGCGTTTTATTGATAATGGTCTGTAAATGTGTTAGTATGATAATGATACATGTTTAGCCTCAATAGGCTAAACATTTTGAGTGTTCACTTAGTTTGGAAAGAATAGAATCCAATATTATTTATTTCTATTAGGTATTTTTTAAAAAAGAGACTTTACAGCTGGGACTACAAAGTGAGTTCAAGGCTAGCCCTGAACCGTGTAGCAAAACTTTATCTCAAATAGAAGTCACTGTAGTCTCTAAATTACACTTGAATGTGAAAATAAGTATAAAATTTAATATATAAGGTTTTGATTTAGCTAGTATACTTGTTTTATGTCAAAATAATGTTTTTCTAAAAATAAGAAAAATGTACATTTTAGTTTAGTCTTACTGCAGTCTTTGTTTTTTTCTTTTGTGGTGCTGAGGAGTAAACCTACGGCCCTCGTGCATATTAGGCAAGTGCTTCCCCATCCCCTATTTTACTGCATTGTTAAATTCTGTAAGGCTAAAAGCCAATCTTCACCATTAAAGATATATTTAGTTTATTTCTTTTTTTTTGTTATGTGTATTTCTTGAAGATGTCCTTTTAAAAACATTATCAAGGCTGGGGATACAGCTCAGCTGCACAAGCACTTACCTGGCAAGTGCAAGGTCCTGAGTTTGCTTCTCGGTACCAAAAAAGCCTTATCATATACCTCTCCATTATTATAGTCTGACTTTCAAATTTCATTAAGTAAATTGAGGACAAAAGGCAATAGCATTCTTGGAGTCTTCATAACTCAAATCTGATGGTGGTATGATTGATGAGACAGTGATGAAGGGCTTTGTAATTTCAAGGTATTTCAAAGAGTCAAAAGTTTAGTGGGTTTTTTTTTTTTTTGGTTGTTAAATGATATATTCTAGTCTCAGCAGATTTTTTGAATTTATTCTTACAGCTTGATCTTTTACAACAGTGTTTATTAAATCTGGTTCCCTGTTTATGTTTTTGTGACACATTTAAAAAGTTACGGATGATTTAAGAATATGGTGAATTGAAGGGATTGGACTTTGTTTAACAAAGATAAATTAGTTAAAAATGAGAGAAGGAAAAGAAATGGTGGGAAGAAATGAGACAGAAGGAGAATTGATGAAGCCGAGCATGGTGGCGCATGCCTGTAATCCCAGCACTCTGGGAGGCTGAGGCAAGAGGATTGCCACAAGTTCGAGGCCAGCCTGGGCTACACAGTGAGTTCAAGGTCAGCCTGAACTACACAGCAAAACCCTGTCTTAAAAAAGAAAAGAGGAATAAAAAAGATGGAGAATTGATGGACCCACCATGTACTTTGCTTTGCAGATTGCTTTTGACAGTTTTATGTAGTGGTTTTGATGGCTAAGAGCACAAACAGTGAACATGGAGTCTGAGTCCCAAAGTCAGTGACCCATTTTAGATTTTTATGTTCTTAGTGTATGTCACTGGGAGGGCGCATGATATAACTAGGAATTCAAAATTTTAATGGTACTGTGGAAGAAAGTGAGTATATAATACTAAACTGAGCTAAACTTAATTCTCTCATACTAAAACAAAAATATACTGTTTCATATGGTTAAATCTTGGCGGCTGTTCTAATACTATATTGAGTATCAGAAGTACCCAATTCTTAAAGAATTAACTCCTTTAATCCTCAGAACAACATGGTAAGGTCCTTCATTGTTTCTTCTTTAAGAGATGAAAAAACAAATTCAGAGCTCAAGGAATTTTTTCAGCTTTAAATTGAAAAGCTTTCAATACAGGTCTGTCTTCATCTTGTTGCAACTAGTGGCTGTTCTTTTCATCTGCTACTTTCACTTAGAGAAGAATCATAATGAAGAGCTCAATTATTATTTTGGTTAATTTTAAGTATTGAGCTCTTTTCAAATGCCTAGGGATTTTCCGACAGTACATACATGAGATGATTGTTATAAATACCATTTTTTGGAAGTTGGGCATTACTTAAATTTACCATCGTCTGTAAAATCTCAGTCTTTTATACCTGCCCCCCCTTTAGAGACACAGGAATTTATTTAACAACTAGATGCTACACATCTGTAATCTTCTTGTTGAATAACATAGGCCCATGTGCCAGTGGAGCTGCCTGGCAGCTATCTGCTTTTACTTTAATTGTTGCCAAAAATGGCGAGTTACTAAGTCCAGCAATGTAGTAAACATTTAGACCTGGACCTTTTTTAGAATGTCATCAAGAGAATGTAATGAAAACTGAAATTATTAACTTTCTCCTCAATCTACATTCATAGTTAAGAAAGGACATTCTTTGTAAAGTATTTCAGTAGGTACCAACCAATGATCTCACTCTGTAATTCCTTGTTAGAGCAGTTTAGCTCAGTGTCTTCAAGTAATCTTCAGTATAAGACTCTTTAAGGACTTTGCAGAACAGTGAAGCTTTGGTATACTGTTGCTCAAATTCTATAGAATAGGTATAGCACTAATGAATGAACTTCATTGTCCCTTTCCCCCACTTCCTCCCCCGTGCAAAAGAAGACCTTAAGATTTTTCTGATTTTTCTGATTTAGTGTCTTTTTTACCCCTTCTCTAGACCAGTTATTTTATAATCTCTTTCTGGAACTTATTTTGAATGTTCATAATCATAACAGCTTTTATGATAGACACTATCAAATTGAGAATGGGGCTGAGGCTTTCTATTTGATTCACACATTTCTGTTTTAATCAGTTCATAATATCTCCCCCTCCTGTTTTTATGAACTATATCCAACAAATAATCTGATTGTTTATACCTGGCCCTTTTACTATGACCCTGTTTTATTTACTCTTGTGAGGTCCTTATACAAGTATTTAAAGCTTAAAAGAAACAAACCAATGTTGGCTTTATCTGAACTGAAGTCTTGTACTTCATTTGCACATTTAATATGTGTAATGGTTTTTTAAATGAAATCATTCTAGGTACAGTGATTGTACAACCAGAGCCAGTGCTGAATGAAGACAAAGATGATTTTAAAGGGCCTGAATTTAGAAGCAGAAGTAAAATGAAAACTGAAAATCTCAAAAAACGCGGAGGTAAATACAAGTGAAAATTGAAACATGAGTTTAAATTGCTGTTTATGACCATATTACAAAATCTGATGTGCTTACTAAAAATACCTCCACTTTTCTGCCCATTGTTTACAAAAAGCACTACTTAAAAATAACTTCTGTTTCTCTTTGAGCTCTGAAGCAGAAAAGGTTAAACACCACTAATCAAAACACCTTTGCCTTCAGTGGCTATTATTTATCTCAAACTTACCATTTCCTTCCAGATATTAGATCTGTAGTACCTATATGTCAGAATGCCATATGTTTCCCCTTGCCAGAAGGAATTTCAGATTTAAGCAAAATTTTGCCTGTGGCCGCCAGGTAGCATCATACATACTCAGAATAAAAAAAAAAAATATAGTGTTAGACATGTGCATTAAGTTTTACCTGGGGTACTTATTAAAAATGTGAATCCCTTGACTCTACTCTTAACAAATTAGAATAAGATGAGGTTTAGACTGTGCTCCAGTTATTAATATACAGTAAATTTCCAGATCCATTGATGAAATGCAGATGAGTAAAGAAAATAAAGGGAGATAGAGCCAATAAACCCTCTTCCATCTGCCTGAACCACCTCTCCTTTTGTGTGTCTGCCCTCCCTTAGGTACACAGCCAGATTGGCCAATCATCTGTAGAAAGTTAGCATAAGAATTCATTTAGAATTTATTAGAGTGGAGTATGTGTTGTACTTGTTCGGGTGTGATTTTTACATAGTGCCTGTATATACTTTTTGGGCAGATCAACAGAGCTAGAATTTATAATTATAAAAGAATGAGTCTCCAAAAGGTAGAACATGACCCTGAATATCTAAATAGAAGTATAGTGATGATGTGCCCATTTGATAATTGATAATGTTATATAACTGAAATTATAGTGAAGGTCTTACATTGGTGAAATTGTGTGTAGATTTTATTTCAATGCTATGATTATTTTGATGGAACTAGTAAAATATATCTCTACTTACAAATATCAGTTTTTCAGCGAAGTAGTTTGTTAGGTTGCCAGTGAAAATGAAAGAAATGTTGTTTGGTCTGTTGCCCACAAAGAAGTGTATAGCCTCTTGAGCATAAGGATGACTTTTTGAGACTATAGTTCACAGTAGGGAAACTGCCACTACAGTGGCCCAGCACACCAAAGTTAAGGTACTACGTATTGTTGAAACTTAAGAGAATCAGCAAGTAGAAGGTGATGGTAAGGGTCAGTAATAGGTCTTTCCTCTGATTTTGAGTCCTTTAGTGAAGATAGACAGTTTTGTATATTGCTGTATTGCATCAAAATCTATGTCTAAATAGTGAATTTTGTGAAAAGACTTTAGAGCAGTCAGTGTCTGAAATATAGATAGGTCCTGAAAGCAGAATCAAAGAAGAACCACTGTTGTTGGGCATTCCTAGTGCCACTTCGATATATTGCTGGTATTTGGTCTCAGCTGATATGTTTCTGGAACATTTTATTGAGTGCTCTGTGTAAGAATGTTTATATCATGCTTAAGGGAAAATGTATGTATATAACCATATAGTACTGACATTTTTGTTTATTTTTGTCTTATTTGCTACAGTGTAAGCTGTTAGAAATCAAACAGAAAACTAAAGTTTAGATTTACTTTCATGCACATGTGTGAATAAACTACTGATTTGAGGTGCTAAATTGCTATAGTTAGAATATAAACTTTTCAGTAAAATTAGTTCAAAAGTTGATGGCCAATTTAGGAAATTGTCAACAATATGAACTGTATATATAAAATAATATTATGTTGATTTGGAAAAAAATTTTAGCACAATGACATAGCTAAAGTGACCATTTTAGGAACCATGTTTTTTTTAACATATCATAGCCTGTTTTGACATACTTTCCCCAGTTTGTTAAAAAATGAGTTACACCTAATTTTTCAACATGACAAACTAATTTTGTTCTCTCTTTAAAACCACTAAAATGTATTGAGCTCAGAAATGAAAATGCATCTTTTCCATTTACACAGTTGTAATCTTTAGAATATTTATTTCATAACTAAATATAAAAATTGAAACATACGTTTACAGAAACAAGTACATAAAATAAAGTAACATTTCAACATTTTACCATATTTGCTTCAGATCTCACTTAAATAAAATATTGGTTCAGTCCTACTCTCATCCATTTTCCCTTCTTCCCACCCCACAGGTAATGATTATCTTAAAGTTTTATGCATGTGCATGTGTATGCATGTTTTTCTATGTTTTCTATCTATGTATTTACTCAAAGGCATTTATTATTCATTTTAAGAATATTAAAAAATAGTATGCTGTAAATATCCTTTGAGAATATTTCTCATTCAACATTGTTTTTCAGATTTATCTATGTCAGTAAGTGTACATGTAGTTTACTTTTCACTGCTCTGTAGGATTCTGTTATAGCACAATTAAACCACTATTTTCAAAATATGAAATTATTTCTGATTTTTTTTCATTTTCTAAATAGTACTGCAGTGAATATTCTCATATATAATTCTTTCTGCATATTTGGGGAGAAATTCTTCAGAGGACTACCTAGTTGTAAAAATTTCTTCAGTGATACACAAAAGCACATAGAAAATAATTATAGGTTTCATTTATCTGATTAATTTATCCAAATGAAATCATTATTTGAAATTAAACAGTACACTGTATTTTTTTTCCTGAAGTAATAGAATAATTGAATACCCAAAATATCAAAGATAAAAATCAAAATACCAATGTAGATTAAAATACCAATGTAGGACAGTGTGATTTTAGAAAAAATATTAGCAGTATATAAACTCAGTCTTTAGATTTTCTCTTCTCAAAAAGTATGATGGTCTCCTTATGCTTTAACATCTACAAATAAAGATCTTGAAAATAATATTTGGGTCCATGGTCCTCTGGACCTTAAAACTAACAAAAAGCATCAAATTGCAAAAAAAAGAAAATTAAAAGGTAAGATATGTGGTTATTGGTTTTTTATTTAGGGATAGAAGCAGAGGTTGTTAGTTTTTGTTTTTTTGTTTTTTTCTAGTTGCCTTTTTAATTTGGGAATGCAGGCATTTTCACTGGCCTCTTTTGAGTCATAATCTGTTATCTTATTTGGATCAAAGTGTTGGTTTGCACAGTAGGATCATCTACCCCCCCGACCCAAAAAAAAACAGCAAAAAAATACCAAAAGATTTTGATTAAGTATTTTAGAGGTGGGAATGGCCGTCTGTGTTTTTTCCTTTTTGAGATGGAGTCTCAGTGTATTGCCCAAGCTGGCTTCAAACTCCTGGGCTCAAGTGGTCCTCCTGTCTCAGTCTCCCCAGTAGCTGGGCTACAGGCGTGTGTCTGTGTTTTTAAAGAGATTCTTCAGGTGATTTTCGTATTCATCTTAGAATGTGAGGCTCTGCTTTAGCAGCACTGAAGACAAGAATTAGGCAGAGGAGATTTCTTCTCATTCTTTCTTGATTGGGTTATCTTCAACTCATTTTCCTGTAGATATTACAGAATGGAGGTTTGTCCTTTTCCTCAGTGATTCTGATATGTTGCTGAGACAGATGTCCTAACAGTGTCTTGTTTGCAAATAGTAGACATTGTTGGCATGGAGAAATAGTGGGATAGACTTAGAAGGAAGCCAGGTAAATGTTGATTATGGATAATGTTGAAGTAACTCTTAGGAAGCGGATTGGTAGTCATTAAATTATTGTTTTCATGTAACATTGATAGGATTTGTGCAGACAATTCCAGCTAGAGAATAAAAACCTTCTTGACATGCCTAGCTTAATTATAAGATTGAAAAAGAATTTCCTTTTGTCATTTTTCTATTCCATAAGAACTGTTATTGAATTTTTTTTTTTTTTCTTTTTTTGGTTTTTCTCCGGTACCGGGAACCGAACTCACGACCTTGCGCTTGCCAGGCAAGCGCTTTGCCGCTGAGCTAAATCCCCAGCCCCTGTTATTGAATTTTTTAATGAAGTAATGACTATATGAAAAAACTCTTCAAATTTATTTTTAGAATTTACTTATTGAGTGTCTTTGTGGTATGTCAAGTTGTAAGTAATGGGGTTTATGTCTGTGGAAGGAAAGAAGTCAGGATTTGTAGCTCAGGATTTGCCAAGGTTGTTCCATTTTTTTTTTAGAAAGTTACTAAAATTAACCTTTTTAACTTATATCCATAATGTCATTTTCTTAAGGATTATGAGGTATTTCATTTCTAATACAAAGGTTGTAAAATGCTGGTAAAATCTTTTTTTCTCTTTGTGTAAATGTGTGCATAATGGTCACTCCTTTCTCCTAGAAGATGGGCTTCATGGAATTGTGAGCTGCACAGCTTGTGGACAACAGGTCAATCATTTTCAAAAAGATTCCATTTATAGACACCCCTCACTGCAAGTCCTTATTTGTAAGGTATGTAATCTGTTGATGAGGTCTCTCTACCCTCGAAGACCTTACATTGTCCTGGGGAAGACAGATGTATAAAAGGCCTTGAAAAATGCCTTTATAGTACTTAGGATCTGGCTTGGGATTTTTTTTTTTTTTTTGAACTGGGTATCAAACTCAGGACCTCATGCTTGCCAGGCAGTCGCCATGCTGCTGAGCTATACTTCCTGCCCAGGATGGGTTTGTAGTGGAGATGATCTAAGTTGCTTCTGAAATGTGAATAAAATTAGCCTAATGGAGTGGGACTGGCTTAGCAAGTTCTAGGCAGAGGTAACAAAATAGTTAAAGGAGAGTCTGGTATGTTTCAAGGCCTGAAGTATATATAAGCATGCATACATGTGTTTTGTAACCTTCCCTCTTATGTACCCCACTTTTGTAAATCTCATGCGGAGCAGGATTATGATGTAATGGAATTTAAAATGCTTTATATATGTTGATTATAATTTTAATAGTCTGTGTGCAATTTTTTAATTAGTACCCGAAATGTTTACTTTTTTTTATTTTAAAGAGAGTAGTACATGAGAAGCAAACAAACAAAAAAATAGAACAGTAGCAGCATACCAGTATCACGAACATAAACAAATCAAAGCAGGAACATTCAAAGTGATACAGGGTCTCGAGACAAATTAATACAAATCAACAGTGGTTGTTACATTGCATATCGCTATCCTCAGCTATATTGCTCAGATTATCAGATATAAGAATGAAAGATTCCTCAAACCATTAAAGAGAATAAAAAGATAATTCTGCAATAAAGCATTAGAGGTATTACAGAGTTTCACTAGATAAGATGGTAGTTCACTATTATAATTCCATTGCGTATGGGTACCTTCAAATCAGTTGCTCAGACCACCAGACACAAGCATGCAAAGTCGATCAGAACATAAAAAATTGTGAGCATTAACTGTTCATTTCAATACACCATCAGACAACAGCAACACAGTCATCACAGCTATTCGTATATATATTTATGTTTTGCCTGCCTTCTTTCTTTTTTCTTCTTTCCCTCATCCCAGTCATTCTTTCCTTTGAGCAATTTCTTTCCCTTTCCTATCATCTATTGTACGTTTTGAGTTTTACCTAGTCTTTCAGTTTCCTACCAAGAATTAATTTAATATAATTTTAAATTTTCAAGGTTATGGGCTCCCCTGCTCATATTAGTGCTAAGATTAATCCTATGTTAGTTTGTTTCACACACAAAAAAAAGCTGCCTTTGTAATGCAGGGTTCAGACTGTTTTCTGAAATTCTACCCTGAGATCTTTTCTTCTGAATTTTTCATAGATTTTGACTTGCTTGGTTGTGCTAAACTTTATTTTATGCTTTAGCAATTTGTTTTCCTCCCTTCTTGAATTCAGTTTAGCCAGTGCCCTATCTTGGCAATGTTTTGTAGTGTCTAAGTGAAAACAATTTTTTTCCTTTGGTTTTTTGAGACAGGATCTGGCTATGTAGTTCAGGATGACCTTCAACTCTTGGTGATCCCCCTGCCTCAGCCTCTTGAGTGCTGGGACTATAGGTGTCCACCACCATACCCAGCTAGTTTAAAATTTTGACATCCAAATCTCGTACTCTGGGTTTGTAACCTGCACTTCCTTTCTCTTTTCTTATATATACATATGATTGCTTTTTTTCCAAGAGCTACTTTGTTAAGACTATCCCATTTCAATAATCAGTAGTTTCCATCTGTGGGCATAGACTCTTCGCAGTCTCATTAGAAAGGAATTTGAAGTCTGTCTGACTTAGATTTGAGCAACAGCTTTGCCTCTTACTAGTTATTTGATAGATTTATTTACATGTGAATGACCCTTTACTTCCCACCTCATAATACTTCCTACCTTGCATGACAACTATTTTGAGATTTGAGAACTAAATGTACATTTGTTGTCTCTACACGTGGTATCTGCTTATATGTATATGGTGACCATTAAAATCATTAAGCAGCAACAACATCTAATATATTTTTTCAATATGGCTTACTTTATTCTTTTTGGTACTGGGGATTGAACCCAAGGATACTCTACCACTGAGCTATATCTTTAGTCCTTTTTATTTTTTCTTTTGAGACAGGGTCTCACTAAGTTGCCCAGGCTAACCTTGAATTTGTGATGTTCCTATCTCAGCCTCCGAGTAGCTGCCATTACAGGCATGCTGGCTTCTAATATATTTGTGTGTAGACCTTTCATAACTAGTTGTATGAAACCAGAAATTTGCTTTAATAAATAAAATCTTTTTAGGCATACTTTTATATAAGGAATAGTGATGCTTTTTAAAATTAAGTATATCAGTACATGTTAGGTATATATAATGATCACATTCATCATAGGAAATTTGTATCTGTGTATGATATAACTTGATTCTTTTCTTTCCACCATTTCCTTACCCTCCCTTCAACCCCTTCCCTTCCCTATTTACAAAAGTTTTGTTTACGTTTTTTTCCTTTTTTTCTCATTTTTTTCTTTTCCCATCCCTCCTCTCCCCTTCCCCATTCCCAAGTTTCCCTTCCTATTTTGAACATTTTCTTCCTATTTCACAATATCTATTACACATTTTGGTCCTGATTTACACTTTCAGTTTTTCACATGAGAGAAACTATGCAGTATTTACCCATGTGTGTCCAGTTTATTTAATGGAGGAGTTACCTAGAAATGTCTCAAGATTATCATTCTTTATGGCTGAGTAGTATTCCATTGTATAAAGGAACCATATCTTGTTTATCCATTCAACATTTGATGGTCATTTGGGCTGTTTCCAAGATTTTTTTTGAGATGCATTTTTGCTATGTAGTTCAGGTTAGCTTTGCAATGACTATGTAGCCCAGGCTGGCCTTGAGCTCACAGCAATCCTCCTAGTTCAGCCTCTCAAGTGTTGGGATTACAGGCATGTGCCACTACACTTACCTATTTCCAATATTACGCTATTACAAACTGCCACTATAAACATAGGTATGCATATATCATTGTGGTATAATACTTTTAATTCTTTTGGAAGATACCAAGATGGGGAATAATTGGGT